ATCTGTCCACTACATTTCCCTGTTAAATAAACCAATAAATAAAAATATCACAAGCTATCCTCCTCTGAAATGAGACGGTCTAATCTAGGGATGATGTTTTCTGTTTACATCACCAGCTGGCACTTTAGTTTAGAAACCTCACCAGCTACCCAGGGACGAGCATGTGAACATCATTATTTTCATCCAATAATTTAAAGTTTCAGGGCCCCTGTCTTTTCTAACACTATAACAATGATATATAATAAAATGAGTTGAAACCATGTACTGACTGAAAAGTTTATTACTCGGCTTCTTGAGAGTACGACAGCCTCCGTAACATGACAGACATTTTGACGTGAAAACCTTCAACTCGCTGGTGTGATGTGATTAGTCTTGAAGTCGGCGCTCAAGGAATGACCTGAGCAATCAGACTGCTGAGAAGGAACTACCTGTTGTTGAATCAACATTGTGTCGTTGGGATTATTCACATTGGACATAAAGCACACGTCCAGAGTCTGAGGGAGACTGAAGAGGGGTTTTGTAGTGAACGTCCTTACCCTCAGAGCTCACGTTGCCATGGATACCTCAGAGATGACTGAGGCATTTGGCCACAGAAATGGAGAGGAGTACAGTCTCACAGGTTTACATTCTGTCTCTGAAGCTTTCCTACAAACAAACTCAATCCTGAAGATTTACACGGCTTCTTTCTGCACAGCCTGGTTTAAACACACAGTCTCATCTGTTACTGTTAGTCAGTTAAATAACTTTCTCTAAAGACTCTGACCAGCCAATAGGAATGGGCGGGAAACGGCGTCTCACACTATTTTTGGTATATTCATTCAAAATAAACAAGTCCCTTATAAAACGATAATAATCTAAATGTGGGGCGCGCTGGTGGTGCAATGGTTAGGGCGCGCGTCCCATGTGTTGAGACTCTCGTCTCGAGCGGTAGGCCCGGGTTCGCTTCCACCCGTGGCCTCTTTCCACATGTCATTCCCCGCTCTCTCTCTCTCTCTGGTTTCTGACTCTATCCACTGTCCTCTCTCTCTCTGGTTTCTGACTCTATCCACTGTCCTCTCTCTCTCTGGTTTCAGACTCTATCCACTGTCCTCTCTCTCTCTGGTTTCTGACTCTATCCACTGTCCTCTCTCTCTCTGGTTTCAGACTCTATCCACTGTCCTCTCTCTCTCTCTCTGGTTTCTGACTCTATCCACTGTCCTCTCTCTCTCTCTCTGGTTTCAGACTCTATCCACTGTCCTCTCTCTCTCTCTCTGGTTTCAGACTCTATCCACTGTCCTCTCTCTCTCTCTGGTTTCAGACTCTATCCACTGTCCTCTCTCTGCATTAAAGGCCCAAAAAGCCTAAAGATAAATCTTTAAACAAAAATAATAATTAAAATGTTCACTTAGTTATCTGAAACGTTTTTTCTAACTAAGGGTCATACTACGTAACACACTCCACTATGCACCTTTACACATTGGTTTGTGATCCACCATTAAACCAGAGAAGAAGAAGAAGAAGAAAAAGGATGAAATGGAACAGTAAGTGGAGAGCGACCTGTTCACCTGTCAAAAAGATGCTTACTCCTGACCCTAAACGACGACCCTTTGGTCGGATGTGGGTTTTTTTTGGTTTCTTTTTTTCATGATAATGTTTGAGCTCTTTTTGTGAACTTGTCTGAATTAAATTAAGTGAAGTAAGAAAATGTGAATTATAACTTTAATGTGGTTTTTATACAGCTTCCTCCTGAAGATGTCACTATTTTTATAAAGAAATGTATTTGTGAGGAGGTCTTGCCCATCTTGGTTGGGTCAGACCAGACAGGGTTTATAAAAGGTAGGTACTCCCACTCCAATCTCCGTCGGCTACTGAATGTTATACAATTTTCACAAAATACAAAAAAAAGGATTCTCGCTGTTTCATTGGATGCAGAAAAAGCTTTTGATCGGGTGGAGTGGGAGTATCTATTTGATATCCTTAACAGGTTTGGTTTGGGTTCTAGTTTCACTACATGGGTTAAGCTCCTTTATAGATCTCCGTCTGCAAGAGTTCTGGTTCAGTGTCTGAGATGTTCCCTCTGAATAGAGGCACACGCCAGGGCTGTCCCCTTTCGCCGCTTTTATTCGCACTTGTGCTTGAGCCTCTCGCAGAGGCCATTAGAACCCACCGTTTTTTTTCTGGTGTCACATTGGGAGACACAGAATACAGGATCTCAATCTATGCTGATGATATATTGTTGTTTATTACTAATCCAGAGAGGTCCATACCGGTATTGGAATCGATTATAAGTGAATTTGGCCAAGTTTCAGGTTACAAAATTAATTATGACAAATCAGAGGCCTTGCCTCTCGGAGACTTTGGTGTCCCGGATACCCTTGTTAATTTTCCGTTCAGATGGTCAATTTCAGGCTTTACCTATCTGGGGATTAGAGTATCAGCAGACATAAAAGAATTGTATAAATTAAATTTCATTCCAACTTTGAAAGCAGTTAAAAATGACCTCAATAGATGGTTTGATCTTCCTCTGTCATGGATGGGTAGAATAAGCTTGGTTAAGATGAATGTACTTCCCAGGATGTTGTACCCAGGGCAAATGCTGCCACTTAAGATCAATAGAAGAGTTATTGTGGATATCGAAAGATCTCTTACAAAGTTTATATGGCATGGCAAGAAATCTAGGCTAAAGATGAAGACCTTACAGTTGCCAATAGACAGGGGGGGTCAAGCACTTCCTAACTTTCTATATTACAATTGGGCCTGCCACGGCAGGATAATATCACGCTGGCTAAACCATTTTTTACATCAAGGGGAGCCTCTAACAGATTCATGGTGCTGTTCCCCTCTCTCTCCTTTCAGTCTCCTCTCAACTGACGCTGGTGAACTGCCAGCAGATGTTAAAAACAACGCTGTCATGTTTAGCACACTTAGAATCTGGAGAGATATTACTAAACACATTGGCCGGAGTGGTTTCTCATCAGCATTACAACCTCTGACTCAAAATAAAGCCTTCTCTCCAGGTATAGGGAAAAGTATTTTCAATGACTGGTATTCAAAGGGTCTAAGATTTGTTGCTGATTTATTTCAAAATGGTGATTTTATGTCATTCAATCAACTCCAGACCAAATACAGAATACCAAACAGCCACTTCTTTGGTTTTCTCCAAGTTAGACATTTTGTCCAATCAGATCTGATTATCCCCACTGATCAATCATTGTTGAGTTCAACTGAAAGTTTTCTTCTCAATTTTAGTTTAAATGCGCTCAACGACAGAAAAATAATTTCACTTTTTTATGACAAATTTCATCCTATTAATTGTGATAGGGTTGAGAGAACTAGGGAATTATGGGAAAGGGACTTGGAGGTTGAACTTAGTGCAGAGGCGTGGTCAGGGACCTTTGTTTCAGCTAGAAAAATCTTTACATGTAATCGACTCAAAGAGAGTCAATACAGAATATTACATAGACTTCAGCGAACACCACAATTTTTAAACAAAATGAGTCCTCAGATCTCCGCCCTCTGTGTGAAGTGTAAAAAAGAAGTAGGAACTTACTATCACTGTGTTTGGCAATGTCCCTTAATATCCAGGTATTGGAAAAATGTTGCCCAGGAGCTTGGCTTAATTTTTCACAAAACAATTAAACTAGAGCCAGCATTGTTTCTCCTGAACTCACCTACGCAACAGTTCTCTCTATCAACAGGACAGCTCGTTCTAATGGGTAAACTTCTGCTCCTAGCGAGGCGATGTATTCTGTTTCAGTGGATTCAGGAGAAGCCTCCATCAGTCACGCAGTGGTACAGAGAAACATTTAAGGTTCTTCCTATGGAACACCTCAGTGCTAAATTAAAGGGAAATAACAACCTATTTTATAATATTTGGCAACCCTTCATAGATTATCTTTCCATTGATCTGGTTGGCTTATTGCAGAAAGGGTGCCCACACTTTATCTTCAAAAATACATCATAGTCATGTTTTTTCCCTTTGATATGTAATTTAAGTAGATAAGATTGTATCTGATATGATAGGGTTAGTTATGTTATTACAACCCATGTATGTTATTATTTTTATTTTGAAATATATGTATATATATATATTTTTTTTATTCCGTAATTTGGTTACATCTGTGCTGTCTTGTTCTGTGCTTGTTATGTTAAAAAATGAATAAAAGATATATATTAAAAAAAAAAAAAATGTATTTGTTAGAAATGAAGTCAAGGTTAAGAAAAGCCCGAGCCCTTCCAGAGAGGGGGCGTGGTCAGACACAGCTCATTTACATATTTAAAGGTACAGACACAGAAACAGCCTGTTCTTAGCATGGCTGAAATAGAGGGGTTTATAGACATGATCAAATACAGGAAAGGAGTGGATTTAGAACAAGAAACTTCACACACGTTTTGAGGAGCTCTGACACTTATTTAAGAGAATATGTGACCTTTGAATTAAGACTTTCATTCCTGTTACTTCATAACCAAGTGTTATTTCTGTCACACCTATCCATCCATAATCCATCCATCCATATTTATCATCATCCATTCATCTCACCTAAAATACATATCAAGACACCGACCTCCACATCAGTCACGTGAGTCGTTGCTTTTCCCTTTCAAACAAAATGTTTCCATATCAGACTCTTCTTTAAAGTCTCTTTATTTTCTAACCAGCTGAACTAATCATGCTAAAGACAGCAGCTGTGTTAGGGTATCTTTAACATGATTCAGATCATATTAAAAAACAAGAAGACTTTAACTGCTTTTGTGTCCTGATTCTGTTTGTGTTAAAGGAGCAATATTTTTATTTTAGACAAAATAATCAATGACTGAATCAATCATTGACCAGCAGCTTACAGCAGGATCCGTAATTCATGAAGACAAACGAAATTAACTGATGATATTTTCATCAGTAAATGAATTAGTTGAAAAAACATCCTCTCATACTGTTAAATAAAAAAACATGTTTTTTTATTTTAAACATTAAAAATATTTTACAAAACAAACTTCAGTTTTATTTGGACATCAGCAATAAATATGATTATAATGAAATGAATTAAAACGAATTGATCCTCCCTGAGCCTCACACACTGAACCCTCAGCTGTGATTAGCTAAAGCTCATTAACGGGTCCTCCCCTGACTGACAGCTCCCTTATCCAATAGCTGTTTGGAATTCACCGCTCCTCCAATCATAAGGCAGTGTGAGCTCATGCTGTCTGCCTGTTGGTGCAGCGCTCGGCCGCGGATGTCTCCTCTGGTGAAGGTTGCCCGTCAGTCTTTGCTGGGAGCTCGCTTCTCTCGGTCCGCTCGCTTTACGCGCAGAGAGCGCAGCAGGCGGAACGTCGACACGGAGCTTCTGTTTGTTGTCACGTCACGCAGGAATCTCTCCGCGCAGCACAGCAGCCATGGATGAGATGGAGGAAGAGTTAAAATGCCCGGTGTGCGGCTCATTTTACCGCGAGCCCATCATCCTGCCGTGCTCTCACAACATTTGCCTGGCGTGTGCTCGGAATATTCTGGTGCAGACCCCCGACACGGAATCCCCTCAGAGCAGCCGAGCCTCCGGGTCCGGAGTCTCTGACTATGACTACCTGGACCTGGATAAGATGAGTTTGTACAGTGAGGCAGACAGTGGATATGGTTCCTATGGGGGCTTCGTCAGCGCTCCTACCACCCCCTGCCAAAAGTCACCTAACGGGGTGCGTGTTTTCCCCCCGACTGTTCCCCAGCAGCCTCCCCCTCAACACCTAATACCGCAGCCCGGCTCTTTACCGCCGATCCCCCGCAACTCCTGCATTACCTGCCCGCAGTGTCACCGCAGCCTCATCCTAGACGACAGGGGGCTCCGCGGATTCCCCAAGAACAGGGTGTTGGAGGGGGTGGTTGACCGGTACCAGCAAAGCAAAGCGGCAGCTCTCAAATGTCAACTCTGTGAAAAGAGTCCAAAGGAGGCCACCGTGATGTGCGAGCAGTGCGACGTCTTCTACTGCGACCCCTGCCGCCTGCGCTGCCATCCTCCCCGCGGGCCCCTCGCCAAGCACCGCTTGGTGCCGCCCGCGCAGGGCCGGATCAGCCGCCGAACCAGTCCCCGCAAGATCTCCACATGCACGGAGCATGAGCTGGAGAACCTGAGCATGTACTGTGTGCAGTGTAAGAGTCCGGTGTGTTATCAGTGTCTGGAGGAAGGAAAACACGGAACACACGAGGTGAAGGCTTTGGGAGCGATGTGGAAACTACACAAGGTAATTACCCCTGTGTGTGTGTGTGTGTGTGTGTGTGTGTGTGTGTGTGTGTGTGTGTGTGTGTGTGTGTGTGTGTGTGTGTGTGTGTGTGTGTGTGTGTGTGTGTGCGCAGGGCCGGATCAGCCGCCGGATCAGCCAATCTAATAACTTGTTAGATTGTAACATATGTATAACTCTTGAAATGGATATCTAGTCTAATGTTCTGACGTCATAGTTTGGATCTTCCTCTGCTGCATGGCTGCACAGGCCGGACTCATGCGTTGCTGCTAGGAAGGGGCAGGGGGGTCAGCTGTGGACCAGAAGAGTCTTAAGGAGCTTTGCTACCTTCTCCTCCTGTGTCTTTCTCTCCTGTTGTTTTTGACATTTCTAACTGCTCTGTCCGCTCACAGATGTGCACTGGGCTCACCTCAGATTTGGGCTGTAACTATAGCTACAACACATGACAACATATTACCCAGCAATCATCACTGCAACCATCACTGCATTTCGGATATGACGAAAATAACTAAGAAAATGGGGAAATTAATAATTTAATCTAATCGTTTTAATATATATACACTGTAGTTTCTTTCTAGTTTCTGTCAATTCAGTTTGTCATTATGTTATACATTTTGACTAACTATTTACACAACAGAAAACATTGATACAGATGGATCTGTCTCCTCAAGCATTGTATAGTGAATGGCACCATGCTTTTTTTAACATGTCTTTCTCTGGACTCAAATGGATCTGTCACTATCAAAAAAGTTTCTATTGGTTGAGTTGAAGAGCATCTGAACATAGAGGGGGCAATCTGCCCTCCCCCACACCATCAGTATGCACTGGTTCCATTGTTTATATCTACAGCCCTGAGTCTGCCTTTACTGAAGGTTTGCTCTGATGCAGAGGGGATGTTTCAATGTGAAATATCGCGAGAGGAGTATTCAGTGTGCGTTATGAGGCAGAGAAGGTAAACACACAGGAGGCAGATCTGTTTAAGATTCTGTTCACTCTGCTGCTCTGATCCTACCTGTCCTCATCTTACACTCAGACTCCTTCTCTATATTATGTTTCATCTGCAGCACCACACATCATCAGCATCACTGATGACTTTCATCATGAGCCTCAGGTGTGCAGGTGTTCACTCACAGGTTACAAATGTATGATCATCATTATTAGTATTGTTGTTATTATTATTATGAAAGCAGAACGCGCTGCAGATTCTCTGCAGCAGGAACAACTAGCTCCATAAAGTGAGGGAGGACGAACAGAAACTCTAATACGCTACCACACACACACACACACACACACACACACACACACACACACACACACACACACACACGTATAAGCTATTGTCATCTTTTCAATTACAGTCCAAAGTGGTCCTGTATGACACAATCAATCAATCTTCATTTGTATAGCAACAATTTATAACAAGTGATACTTTACAACAGAGCAGGTAAAAGACCTTACTCGCTGTTATGTTACAAAGACCCACAGTTAATCCATCATGAGCGCAGCACTTAGCAACATTTAGCCAAGTTACAGTGGAGAGGAAAAGAAGCAGAAATCTGGCAACACCAGACTCATGATGAACAGCAATCTGCCTGAACTAAGCTCGGTTTAAAAAATTGGATACAGGGAGATAGTATGAAGAAGAAAGATAGGGACGAGGAGAGGGGAGGGGGGGCGCCCATAGCAGCAGGTTATCCCCAAAAACGATCCTAATGACCCTTCAAGACATGACAGCTCAGGGGCGAGAGAGAGAGAGAGCTCAAGGTGCCATTTCCTCCATTAGTCTAAGCCTATAGCAGCATAACTAAGAGCTGGTCTACACCTGCACCATGACTAATTAAGTTTTAACAAAAAGAAAAGTACAGAGTGTGTCTGTCTCCTGTACCCTATCAGGAAGATGATTCCAGAGGAGAGGAGCCTGATAACCGAAGGCTCTACCTCCTATAGTACATTTAGAGACTGTAGGTACCATGAGCAGGTAGGGCTGGGCGATATGGCTTATAATAAAATCCCCAAATGTTTTTTTAGACTACACCGATTTACGATTTTAAAAGATTTTTCCTCAAACAACCTATAAAACACAGAACAACAAATTCATTAATAGTATTTGTTTTAATTTCAACTATACTTTACCAAACCTTTTTTTGTATAAAATGTGCCTCTTGTAAACAAAATGAAATATTTTATTTGATTGGCTTTCTCATTAGGCCATGTAATAATCAAACTTTAGGTTCTTGTAAATAACATCTTTCAAAGTGTTTTTACAAGTTTTTAGCAAAGAACACAATCCTGTCCACTGCCTGTGGCATGTTACAATGCACTCACAAAGTTGCAGGATATGGGTTAGGCTAACCGGTAGGCTAACCCTACCCTGGTCCTGTGTGATCTGGTCCTGTGTGATCTGGTCCTGTAGGATCTGGTCCTGTAGGATCTGGTCCTGTGTGATCTGGACCTGTGTGATCTGGACCTGTGTGATCTGGTCCTGTGTGATCTGTTCCTGTGTGATCTGGTCCTGTAGGATCTGGTCCTGTGTGATCTGGACCTGTGTGATCTGGACCTGTGTGATCTGGTCCTGTAGGATCTGGTCCTGTGTGATCTGGACCTGTGTGATCTGGTCCTGTAGGATCTGGTCCTGTGTGATCTGGACCTGTGTGATCTGGTCCTGTGTGATCTGGTCCTGTAGGATCTGGACCTGTGTGATCTGGTCCTGTGTGATCTGGACCTGTGTGATCTGGTCCTGTAGGATCTGGTCCTGTAGGATCTGGACCTGTGTGATCTGGACCTGTAGGATCTGGTCCTGTAGGATCTGGTCCTGTGTGATCTGGACCTGTGTGATCTGGTCCTGTAGGATCTGGTCCTGTGTGATCTGGTCCTGTGTGATCTGGTCCTGTAGGATCTGGTCCTGTGTGATCTGGACCTGTGTGATCTGGTCCTGTAGGATCTGGTCCTGTGTGATCTGGTCCTGTGTGATCTGGTCCTGTAGGATCTGGTCCTGTGTGATCTGGTCCTGTGTGATCTGGACCTGTGTGATCTGGTCCTGTGTGATCTGGTCCTGTAGGATCTGGTCCTGTAGGATCTGGACCTGTGTGATCTGGTCCTGTGTGATCTGGTCCTGTAGGATCTGGTCCTGTGTGATCTGGACCTGTGTGATCTGGTCCTGTAGGATCTGGTCCTGTGTGATCTGGACCTGTAGGATCTGGTCCTGTGTGATCTGGTCCTGTGTGATCTGGTCCTGTAGGATCTGGTCCTGTGTGATCTGGTCCTGTGTGATCTGGTCCTGTAGGATCTGGACCTGTGTGATCTGGTCCTGTAGGATCTGGTCCTGTGTGATCTGGACCTGTGTGATCTGGACCTGTGTGATCTGGTCCTGTAGGATCTGGTCCTGTAGGATCTGGTCCTGTAGGATCTGGACCTGTGTGATCTGGTCCTGTGTGATCTGGTCCTGTAGGATCTGGTCCTGTGTGATCTGGACCTGTGTGATCTGGTCCTGTAGGATCTGGTCCTGTGTGATCTGGACCTGTAGGATCTGGTCCTGTGTGATCTGGTCCTGTGTGATCTGGTCCTGTAGGATCTGGTCCTGTGTGATCTGGTCCTGTGTGATCTGGTCCTGTAGATCTGGACCTGTGTGATCTGGTCCTGTAGGATCTGGTCCTGTGTGATCTGGACCTGTGGGATCTGGACCTGTGTGATCTGGTCCTGTAGGATCTGGTCCTGTGTGATCTGGTCCTGTGTGATCTGGTCCTGTAGGATCTGGTCCTGTGTGATCTGGTCCTGTGTGATCTGGTCCTGTAGGATCTGGTCCTGTAGGATCTGGACCTGTGTGATCTGGTCCTGTAGGATCTGGTCCTGTAGGATCTGGACCTGTGTGATCTGGTCCTGTAGGATCTGGTCCTGTGTGATCTGGTCCTGTGTGATCTGGACCTGTGTGATCTGGTCCTGTAGGATCTGGTCCTGTAGGATCTGGTCCTGTGTGATCTGGTCCTGTGTGATCAGGTCCTGTGTGATCTGGTCCTGTGTGATCTGGTCCTGTAGGATCTGGTCCTGTGTGACAGGAGGACGTCGATCATGTCACTCACATTTCTTGAGGAGCTGCAGACCTTTTCTGTTTCATCTTGTTGGTTATAAAAATGACTATTTTTAGAAAGAGATCAACAGGAGCCCAGATTCGGGAGCCAGTGGTCCTCCCGTCCTCGTGTTTCTGGCTCCACCTGCTGATTTGTGACCTGTTATCTGAAGCCTGCAGGACTGGAACAGATGGCTGAGAGCTTGGAGCGGGTGGATTGAGGGTGGGCTTATTTCAGAGCTTCAGGCTGTTCCTCACATAATTCAACAGTGAAAAACATGCAAGTATGTTTGATAACCTGACTGTAGATTCTCATGCATTGGTTTGACTATTACAGAAACAACCTTGCACAGTTAAAAAAACAACAATTTCCCAAAATGGCCGCTCTTGGTTCCTGTGAGATGCAAAAGGTCATTGCTGAGATCTCCTCCAATGAGGGCGCATGAACAATTTGAAGATTGAAATAACCAACTTTAAAAAGGCTGTGTGATTCGTCAACCGTCTGTTAAGACCTTACTAAAATAAATAAAAAGCAACAACCATCACACGAGAGAAACCGGGTTCGACTCGAGAACCAGACTCATGATGAACAGACAGAAACCTGGATCAGAACCAGACTCATGATGAACAGACAGAAACCTGGATCAGAACCAGACTCATGATGAACAGACAGAAACCTGGATCAGAACCAGACTCATGATGAACAGAAACCTGGATCAGAACCAGACTCATGATGAACAGACAGAAACATGGATCAGAACCAGACTCATGATGAACAGACAGAAACCTGGATCAGAACCAGACTCATGATGAACAGAAACCTGGATCAGAACCAGACTCATGAAGAACAGAAAGAAACCAGGATCAGAACCAGACTCATGATGAACAGAAACAAGGATCAGAACCAGACTCATGAAGAACAGAAACCAGGATCAGAACCAGACTCATGAAGAACAGAAACCAGGATCAGAACCAGACTCATGATGAACAGAAAGAAACCTGGATCAGAACCAGACTCATGATGAACAGAAACCTGGATCAGAACCAGACTCATGAAGAACAGAAACCAGGATCAGAACCAGACTCATGAAGAACAGAAAGAAACCAGGATCAGAACCAGACTCATGAAGAACAGAAACCTGGATCAGAACCAGACTCATGATGAACAGAAACCTGGATCAGAACCAGACTCATGTAGAACAGAAAGAAACCAGGATCAGAACCAGACTCATGAAGAACAGAAACCTGGATCAGAACCAGACTCATGATGAACAGAAACCTGGATCAGAACCAGACTCATGTAGAACAGAAAGAAACCTGGATCAGAACCAGACTCATGTAGAACAGAAAGAAACCAGGATCAGAACCAGACTCCTGATGAAC